AAGATCGTACGCAACTGAAACTTTGATCGGCAAGTGATCACTACCGTGGGGATTTTGGATCACATTCCACGTGCAATCCAACGATAATGAGTTAGAGCAAAGTGTGAGGTCTAATCTACTTCCATTCACGGATGGGCCAGCCAAACGTGTTACTTCTCCATTGTCAATTGTCATATTGAAGCTGTCACAAAGCTCATATATCAAAGAAGAACGGTTGTCATCATACAGTTCCCCCCAGCCTGTACCGTGGGAATTAAAATCTCCCATAATCAACCGTGGATCAGGAAATACCGAACAGATATCTGAAAGTTGTTTTCGATTAACAACGGCTCTAGGAGGAACATAAACAGTAGCAATACAAAGACTTTTACCTCTAAAAATAGCCTGACATGCAATAACTTCAATACCTGGAAATTGTGGAAGATTCACTCTATCAAAGTACCCCTCCTCCACGCGAATCCTCACGATCCAGTCGAATAATGTTAAAATCATAAAAAGGAAGATTGATATATGAAGAGAGCCAAGTTTCACAAAGAGCAAATGCATCACAATCATTATTGTGAATTAAAAACTTAAAAGAGTCTAATTTAGAAATAAGACTTCGACAATTCCACTGTAGAACAGTGAACAAATCCCCGACCTCGCTTGTAAAATTATCCATCGAAGGAAATGATTGCTGCAAAGAGGGGCCACTTCAATGTCAATTGCTTCAAGAGGTTTGTTAGTGGGGAGGGTAAAGCCATAGGATACGTTCGGTAGACGTTGTTGGTAGATTTATAATAGCAATGGGGGGTCGAATAAGGCATATTGAAAAATTTCAAGGAAGGGGACAAGCCTGGGATTGAACTTCCGGTCTTCTCCTCAGCAAGCCAAAACGGTAACCAACAAGCTACCGATCCCGTCTAATTTTAGTGTTACCATCATGCTGCTGAAATGAATGCAAAGTTAATTTTAAAACGATGAATCACCATTGGGGCTAAAAGAAGCCTGTTGGTGTATATTTACAATAATAATACTAACAATAATAATAATAATAATAATAATAATAATAATAATAATAATAATAATAATAATAATAATAATAATAATAAAAAAAATAATAATAATAATAATAATAATAATAACAATAATAATAATAATAATAATAATAATAATAATAATAATAATAATAATAATAATAATAATAATAATAATAATAATAATAATAATAATAATAATAATAATAATAATAATAATAATAATAATAATAATAATAATAATAATAATAATAATAATAATAATAATAATAATAATAATAATAATAATAATAATAATAATAATAATAATAATAATAATAATAATAATAATAATAATAAAAATAATAATAATAATAATAATAATAATAATAATAATAATAAAAATAATAATAATAATAATAATAATAATAATAATAATAATAATAATAATAATAATAATAATAATAATAATAATAATAATAATAATAATAATAATAATAATAATAATAATAATAATAATAATAATAATAATAAGAATAATAATAATAATAATAAAAATAATAATAATAAAAATAATAATAAAATAATAATAAGAATAATAATAACAATAATAATAATAATAATAAAAATAATAATAATAAAAATAATATTAATAATAATAATAATAAAAATAATAAATATTTAAATATGTGCTAGAAATTTTTTCATATTTTTGTAGAACATTGTATGTTAGTATATTCACTTATTTTTAGCATAATATGATTTGTTGATAAAAAATAGTCTTATTTTTAGTCTAGATTAATCGAAGAGCAACAGATAACAGCAGACATCATTCATCTGAAATTAGATGGTAAATACTACAAAATCCAAACTTTTATTACACAGATAAAAATTCTGAATTCTAATTGTAATGTAAGCATTCATTCACGTAAACATGTATTTCATTTCACGCAACCGAGCAACTTGTAAACAATGTTGTTTACATAAATGGGCTTTTGTATACAATATTTGCAACATTGCATGAAATGTGTCAGAACTTTACATGATATATAATGTAAACGTATATGATATGTGACGCTCCATTTATGTGCATCATATTGAACAGAAATTTATACTACTTTTTCGAGCTGTGTAGGATCTTGTAGTATCCGAAAGAGTCATATCTGTAGTAACACGCATCAAGGTAGATGTACCGTTTCTACTATGGTGCTCTATAATGATGGCCTATGGGAATCTCATAGGCCATAATTGGAACACATCATTATAGGAACATAGAGCCATAAATGGTACACCTATCCTACATATGGCACCTATAATCAGTACCTTTTACTTCATTCATTATGTGATAGTTCTGAAACGGAATCAGTAATCATTATTATAATCTTTATTAACGAGGCTTTAAACGTTCATTCACCTCGAGGAATCAGTAATTAAATTGCTACATTTCAATAAAGATCTTAAATCAACTGTCTCTATATATTCAGTTTTACTAATTAAATAACGTTTGCTTGTAACAATTGGGCTTGACAACTCAAGGTTGAAGAAAGTTTGTCAGAAAGGTTTTCAGCAAACAGAATTTTTATCGAAATATTTTATATTTTTTCTGAGGAATTCTGCTTTGCATAAAGTATTTCTAAATATTTTCAAAAAACCCAATATTTTTTATTTTCTAAATTAATAGGCTAGCGTTGCATCAGTTTCATAGCATTATAGGATCTTTTGAACAATGTTCGGAAAAACTCAAAATCTCAAGCGTGAGTTTATTCGCCTATGAGTTTTTCCTCGCAAAATTAATCGACGCAAAAATCACCGATAAGTTTTTAAGTTTAAAAATTCATTGCTATATTCATTGCAAATATATCGTTAATCATTGTTATTACTGTTAACTGTTGGACTGCATCAGTGGATGGAAAACTAACACAACATTCATTGATGTTTGAGCGGTTCTAATGAGTTTTCAGCTGAAATGATTTTTTGCGTAATGAATGTGAGTGCGTGAAAATGCATGCTCGGAAAAAAATCTAAACCGTAAACCGTAAACTAAAAATCACGACCATCTATCCAGAACAAAATTTTCTAAAATATACATATACATGAACAATGGTTCACGGCTGTGGTTAACGAATATGGGAACTCTTTTTTCCGTGATATTTGTATGCCAGATTTGCCAACGAGTTTATTCTCTCAATTAGGCTCATCGAATGAGATTTGAGAATGATTTTCCGAAGACTGCTTGTGAATAACATTATCCTCTTTACCCCTCCACTTAATAAACATATGCCAGAAACTGATTTGTTCTATTTATTTAATTCCTGCATCAACAGGGTCGTGGTCTCAATGATTGCTAAATATTTAACACTACTGACTGTCATGTACATAATTATATAAGTTAATTTTATATTGGTTTAATAATAACAAATCCAACAACTTCAAATAAGGGGCAAATGGCTGAAAGCCTCTTTAATAAAAAAAAAAACAACCTAACCTAACTTCGAAAAACACTTTGTTAACATGTTTTGAACGTCGATTTTGACAAGCTAATAAGCATTAAAAAATCTGGATAACAAACAATCAAAGTATGCAGTGTATTATAAGTTATAGCCTAATGTACTTTTTAAAATTCATACATCCTGTCGTTGGATACTACCACAAGATCCTGATAAAAACTTTTTGATTTTTTAGTTTCAGATGCATGTGATGTGCCCTTCGAATAATCTAGAATAAAAAATGGACCATTTTTTTACGTAGAACTACGTCTTTGTCGACTTTACTAGGGTGCAAATCAAAAAAAATATGTGTAAGGTTTTGAACGGTTGTAACTTTGTCATTTATAGATTAAATTAAAATCCAAATACGCCAATCGATAGGATATTACGTTACAAATCTGCTGGAATTAATACTTCTCCAATTTTCTTTAACAATACCTTTGAAAAATGTACAAATGATAATTTTATCACTGTTTTCATAAAATAAACGTTTTTTCCCAAACCCAGTTAATCGTATACCACTTGGCTGCACATCGTTCTGCTTGAATTTGAAAATATATAAAACAGCGCTCTGTCGTGCCTCTGCTCATTACCGCTTCGGACGACGTGGCACTGGGTCCTGCAGCATGCAGGAGCAAGTCAGCGGTTAATATGATATTTACATCTATGCGGATTTGCTAGTGCTAGTGTACTAGCACTGTGCAAAAAAGTAGCCAGCATAATGTAAGCAGGGCATCAGCGTCTACCAGCATAACCTGAAATTCAACAACTGCATCCCCCTAATTTTCAATTAATGTTATACTAAGCACCTACTTATTGGAAACCAAACATTTGATTTGAGAAAAGTCACAGTATTCTATTTTGCATCATTCTACGAACACTCTGTAAACTACATAATGATGATGCATGATTATTTTATGTTAAGGTTATCCTCCAAATTGGAGAACAAAGAGATGCTTAGACCCCGTATGATCGTTATCATAAAATGCAACCTTTACTCTCTTCTCTGCTTCAGAGACCTAATTTAAAACTAAAGATGGAGCTACTGAAAAAAAATAACGTATTTTTTGGCAATTGTTTTATCCGATTGTGGACTACACTGCGGTCATTCTGCGGTCGTGTCTAGGACACAACTCTTTATTTTTTTTTAACCAAAAATCACATCATTCCGAAAATAAGAGGTTATATGTTAATTCATCATCTCACTTCTTGGGGATATACAGAATACGTCAAAAGCTAGCTGCGTGTTTAAAACACTGGCGAAGGTAGAATAATTCCTTGTTTATTTGCTATTTTCAATCATCTTCAAAAACTGTTATTATCATATAAAAAATCTATTTCGATCTGTTTGATGATTGCTGTGCTCATGATCACTATTTCTAATTTTCACACCATGGTGTGAAATGAACGATACATTTGCCTATATAATACTGTACTGTCCATAAAAGCATAACTGTGCCATTTCTGCAGAAAATACCGCGAACTTTAATAATCAGAACAAATCTTCCTCTGATTTCAGCTTTCCATTGGTATTGAAAACGGTCATCTTGAAGCTTACAATACTGATTTTGAGCTTCAATTTGTGCACCAGCTTAAATATATCCTAGGATATTGCAGGTTAGTATACACGTGACCATCGATGCACACTTTTATGAGTTTGTCCAACGCAAACACTAATCACCTTCACTTCTCTTGCTCTTCCAGAGTAATCGTCAAACAGGAAAAGGGGAAGAAAAATTCCGACTTTTTGATTCCGAAATCCAACAGCACCCGTGCGTTGCCCATCACGATTGGAAACGATAACGTAGCAGAAATCTACGGACCAGAGTATGGTCTGATCTACCTACTGAAAACACCACAGGATCCGCTGCTGCACATTCATCTGTACGAGTGCGAAAAATACGAACAGGTGAGTGGAAGTTTTCTTCTGAAAAGTCATTTTACTGCGAGGAAAGGCTCCAGCAGTAGTCATGTGTAATTTTCAGAACTGCAATAAACATGATATTTATGTCCGCAGTTTATGACAGTTCAGTCATAAACTGTTCAATGCTAAACTATTGGGATGGGTGGCACTTTATAACTTTTCATAGATGAGCGGACGTTGTGATTTTAAACCAGATGATGCTACTGATGTTTTAGGAACATGGTATAATATGCATCGTTGAATACAATTCAATAAGTTGCCTTCAGTTATAATTATTGCTCATTATAAATATGTTGATCACTAACGTAAGAGTGAACCACTACTGATTTGACAGCAAAATCACTCGTAATGACGAACCCAAAACACAGCCGACTAACTAAATTGAATAGCAAACTACCACTACTAAATACTCATGGTATTGGGTAGTGGGGTCGATTTGATGTTAGGTAGGTCAAAAGTCACCCTTAACACGACAAGCACCGAAAGTATTTGGTATACGCCCTACCCCATGCAATGAACTCCATTGTTCAAAAATAGTATCCGGTGGGAATCATGGCTGTTTTTTTGATTTGGTTGCGTGCTGTTTCGCATGTCACAGATACCGTTTGCTGGCTTGAGATTTGCTTGTTCGTGCATTTTCAATGACCATAGCGTGCGTATCGTTGAAATCTAGGTAAACGTAACCATACTCTGTTCATATACGACCACTTATATGATAACAATGTCAATAGAATCATTAGAAAGTTTTATAGCGTTGCTGAGAGCCGAATCATTAGTTGGTGATACTTTACAGAACAATTATTACCAATTTAAAAAAAAAAGTAGCATCCTGCCAATCCTGCAATGTGTTGAAATTACTATAATAATAAAAATAAACATTTTACCTCATTTTGAAGGTAATTGCCACAAAAATACAATGAGGGTAACATTGGCCACCGGGGATCTGCTGCGGAGATTTTGAAATGGAATCATGAGTACAACGCGTTACATAAATCTCTAATAAAATCGCACCAATAATGCGCAGTTATCCAATACTCGATATTTATGCTCTTAAAAACTAGTTAATAATACCATACAAACATAGACATATTATAATTACGTCTTCAGCAAAATTGATAGACTTGTTCTTAAATGTATAGGTTTATTCCCTCTAGTTTTCCCCTTATTTTTACACAATATTGAGATTGAGAGTTAGTGTCCTGGGTAAAGTTGTATAACAAATTGTTGCACAAAAAACTTTGTAGAAGACATCACAATCTCATATTAGCGTATTTTGGGACATAAACATCACAAAACTCATACCTTAAAAAACTAGCCTTAATTAACCTTAACTATGCTTTTAAGATGTCATCCCACTATGTTACCGTTTTCATGATGATATTAATTAAAAGCATGAAAGTAAGGAGTCACTGGAAAATGTAAACAATACTTCAATTGTCTTTCTCGAAACCCAAACGGTTGTAGTGGATGATACAAGAATAATCTATTTAAAAATGTGCAGGAAATCGATTTCGATAGGTCTCATAAATAACAAATGACGGGTTGTGTCCATTTTGCCCAAATTTCCAATCGCCTTTTTTTTTTGGTGAAATCGGAGACTACTACTAAACGAAGAGACACGCAAAGAGTGAAGCATAATCTATTCAAAGAAATGTCAAAACATCTAGGGGAAACGCTCCTATAGTTGCGGTACGTTAGAAGCGTTAAGTTCCTATAGTTGTGTATTGAGTCTCCATGCACAACTATAGGAACCTAACGCTTTTAACGTACCGCAACTATAGGAGCGTTTCCCCTATAGCAAGTTGGAACGCGCGGGTAAGTTGAAATTGATAGCGCATCTATATACGCGGAACCCGAGTAGACAAGAATATCAAATCAATAATAAGTTTTACTTTTAATATTGGGGAACAGAACATTAAAAGTTGCAATTAGTTTGATTGAATTATCTAAAATAATATCAAAAAATCAATGGTACCTTCCCTTCTTCTTCTTCGCATTTCAAGCTTATTGCATATCGCATATTAGCTTATTGTGTGCTCTCAACTTAGTGTTCTAGATGCAGTTCCACAGTTATTAATTGAGAACTTTCGATGCCTGTACCATTTTTGCATTGGTATAATTGTATGGCAAGTCCAATCATACTTCTATGCCCAGGGAAGTCGAGAAATTTTCTAACCCGAAAAATTCCTAGACCGGACCGGGAATTGAACCCAGCCACCTCCAGCATGGTCTTGCTTTGTAGCTGCGCCTTTACCGACTGAGCTAAGGGAGGCCCCATCAATGGTACCATAACTAAGAAATATCTAAGTCAGTTGATGCCATATCTAAAGAATAGCAAAAATCATAGTAAATTAATATCATATATTATTATTAATATGTTATGTCATTAAGCTATTGATATGTTGTATAAATAATCAATTTAATAACTAATAAATAAATAGCTTACTCTGATATCAAATCAAACATCTTGAGTTCATTTTACCAAAATATCGTAACGAATAATTACTATTAACTTGTTATAGCGCACAAAATACCAATAACATAATAAGGTATTGATAGCTAAATTTGATATTATTTTGCGCTGGTTTTGCTATTTCCCTCTACCCGGGAAGTGAATATTCACATTATTTTTGAGTGGCAAACTACTGGATTAAAAATAACCACAGTGCTAATTCACTTCCACAAAAAGATACGCCTTCCATTTCAACTTCCCCGCGCACTTTAACTTGCGCGGTGTAACGTATACAATGTACCTATCATGCAAAATAAATAAACATTATTATGCTATGAATTAATATACTGGTCGATGTAATCGTAAACACACCGTAAGAATTGAATTTTCACGGGATGCGCATGTCATCGACTATGTAGTATTGATATATTTTTGTTTATGATTAGTCGGAAAATTACTACGGCCGTTAAGGCTAAATTTCGTTTTCACTGGAAATCATTTGAATTGAATTCATAAGTTCTCTGTTGCAAAGTGAAAGGGTAGAGAATCTTTTGAAAACTATGCTGCATGTCCTTAAATTTTCCTTTTTGCTCGAATATGCACCGACTCTAAACTAAACAATATCATATGAATTTCGAAACACAACTCACTGATATCGGCTTTTGGTGACATCGTCGATAGAGCTCGACATTCGAGATTCAGTTGCTAGCCCACCAGACACGAACTACATATATATCACAGGCATTAATGAATGTTAATGAAAAACTGCACCTGGGCTTAACTTTTTGTTGTTTTAAGTTTAATGATAATAATTTGAAAACGGTTACAGCTTCAAACTTGACTTTAAAGAATAAAATCTGGAAAATAATTTGAAATTTAACACATTACAACATTAAACATATTTAAAAATTTGTTTACATTGTTCCTGGTTTTCTGAAGGGTGTATTCGTTTAAAATGGCACACACATATTTACTCACCAAAATTAAACCGATAGTCGACTTTTCTTGAAATTTTCAGGGATTGAAAAACTACTAATGAGTTATGATTTACAAAATATGTTTTATTCAATTTCGTCTCCCATCCCGAATGCCCGCACCATCTTTTTCACTCCACCTATCAAATTTTGTACAACCGATTTTCCCAGTATTTGCGTTGTTTTTACCCAATTTTTCTTCAACACCAGCTCTATTTTAATAGATGTGTTATGTTTGCGACGTTCCGTCTTCATAATTGCCAAGAATTTTTCAATTGGGCGAAGTTCCGGTGAATTTGGTGGATTCATATCTTTTGGCACAAAATTGACTCCGTTGGCTCGGTACCACTCCAACACGTTTCGAGCGTAGTGGCAGGATGCTAGATCGGGCCGAAACAGAGTTGATCCTTTGTGCTTCCTTGGAAAGAGGCGCTTCTTAAGGCACTCTTCCGTGTAAATCACACCGTTGATTGTTCTGGAAGTGAAAATATTCTTGCCGGAAGTCAGCTTTGCCGTAAGTTTCGTCACGATGCAACACGGTTTGGTGAGCAATTTCGTGTAAAGTTTCCGGACGCGGATTTTCGCAGTGATGTTTTGCTTTTTCATGGTTTTCTGCACACAACCGACTGATACCTGGACTATTTAGCGACATCTCGAATTGACATGTTTGGACGGTTCTTGAACTGTTGCACCACTTTCCTGGCCATTTTACTGTTACTGGAAAAACGTCACGATAGGGGGGGAGGGGGTAATTTTTTGCTCGATTTAGCGTGACATAATTAATGCATGGGCCCTAAGTGCACAAAATTTTTCACGGACAATTTCTTCTTTCGACGACATGACTGGAACTTACTTACCTTACCAATCAGGCTAAGGCCTTGTTGTCCTCTGCTGTCCGAAGAAGTCGTCTCCACTCTACTCGATCCATGGCCACAGTTCGCCAGCCTCGTAGTCTGCGAAGGGTCCGCAGGTCACCTTCTACTTGGTCGATCCACCTTGCCCGCTGCGCGCCTCTTCTTCTTGTTCCTGTTGGGTCGCTTTCTAGAACCATTTTCACTGGGTCGTCGTGCGGCATTCTTACGACGTGCCCAGCCCACCGTAGTCGCCCAATTTTTGCAATGTGGACGATGGATGGTTCTCCCAGCAGCTGGTGCAATTCGTGGTTCATTCGCCTCCTCCACGTTCCGTCATCCATCTGCACTCCACCGTAGATGGTACGCAACACCTTCCGTTCGAAAACACCAAGGGCGCGTTGGTCCTCCACGAGCATAGTCCAGGTCTCGTGGCCGTAAAGGACCACCGGTCTAATCAGCGTCTTGTAGACAGTCAACTTCGTGCGGCGGCGAATTTTATTCGACCGGAGCGTCCTCCGGAGTCCAAAGTAGGCACGATTCCCTGCCATAATGCGTCTTTGAATTTCTCTGCTGGTATCATTTTCGGCGGTCACCAGTGAGCCCAAATACACGAACTCATCGACCACCTCGATTTCGTCACCGTCAATCTGAACTCGGGGTGGGAGGCTAACATTGTCTTCCCTAGAACCTCTTGCTTTCATATAT